CTCCACATTTTCAAAACTACATTTAAGCCAGAGTGAAAGATGATCCAACAGATGACTTCTCCTTTATGCCATTACCTCCTAGTAACCAAAAGGTCCCCATAGCTCCACTCTGAAAAGCCACAAATTTTAGGTATGGACTCCCCCTAGTCCTCTCATAGGCCCCCATTCACTGCTCATGGACACTCCATGCCGTGGGTATATACACTGCTTCAGTGTGGGATGGATTGAATAGGAGAAAGGCTTTTGGAGGCATCCTGAAGAGTGTGATAACCTGTAAAGATGGTCCTAGGAAAGGACGGTCACTTGCCTCTCAACCACAGCCCGGGAAGAGGTTGCAGAAACACTAGAAGGTCTGAACCTTAGTCTCACCTTAGTTGCAAACTGTGACATGCATAAAAAACTGATCTTTCTTTGCCCTGCATCCACCAGTGCTTCTAAAATGTATAAAATTTCCCTAAGAGACAAGAGACTTTTGCTATTCATAACAAAGTGTCTTTCAACTGTGCCAGAACTTATGCTAATAAGTGACTTTTGGTGGGGGATTCAGGTAACTTCAGCATGGGGACTGGTCACCAAAAGACTACTTTATGATTAAAGGGCTGGAATTTAAGATCCATCCTCTATCCCTGGGGAGTGCAGGGGCACTGAGGATTGATCACCTATGACCACCGCTTACATCCATCATGCCTATGTAATGAAACTTCCATTAAGGTCCTAAACAATGGCTTCAGAGTACTTCCTGAACCACATTTTAGTTGGAAGATGGTATACTCACAGAGACCATGGGAGTTGGGCAGACTGACCAACATGACTCTAAGAGCTCACTGTTTGCAACTCTTCCCCCTTAGCTGTTCTCGGATTGCATTTGTTTGTTTATTTGGTTTGGTTTTTCAAGACAGGGTTTCTCTATGTAGACCTGGCTGTCCCGGAACTCACTCAATAGACCACCTGCTTCTGCCTCCCGAGTGCTGGGATTAAATGCATGCACCACCACTGCCTGGCTCTGCATTGCATTCTTGACACCAAGCAGATATACATAAGTAGTGTAATCTGAGTTTATTTAATTCTCAAACCTGAGGAGAGGGTGTGAGAACCCTGGGTAGTGAGAGGTACAGGTAACCCAAGATTTAGAAGTGACATCTGAAATTAGGGCAGTCATGGGGAAAACTGAGCCTTTAACTTGGGGATCCAATACTAACCCTTAAGTAAACAGTATTGGAATTGAATTGATCTCTTGAACACAGAACAAATGAACCACATAGCCCCTCTGAAGTTGCAAAGGATCAAAGGCCCCAGAGAAACAGCCTTGCTGTCATCCTGACTAGGGTCAGCTGCTCCTTCAGACAGATGTCCAGAGCCTGCAGGAAATCAGGCTTCTCTTTTAAATACTTGAAACCAGAGTAGTTGGTCTACCATAAATGAGGTTTTTAAAATTCAGTTCCCTCTTATTGCTCATGCAGATCTGAAATGATCTGACCAGATGGCTGGTGCTCTATAATTCTTGGATTGCTCTCATCAGTTGTTGAGGATTTAGATTTTTTTTCTCTTTTCCACCCATCACATGAACATGTTCCTGCACAGACTTCCTGCATGCTCCCATTGAGTGGGTTCTAATACCAGTATTTCAGGGATTCTCACAGCCACCTTGAAGTCAAATCAGATGAATAAGAAGCCTCAGGTTGAGCTTAGCTATATTTTCCTGAGGCCAGAGGGGCCAACAGGTAAGATTGGGGTGGCCTTTGTCCAGGTGTCCTCTTCACCTCTACTTCTCCTTCAAGTCCCCAAAGAAAGGGAGCAAAGGTGTATTTTTTAAATGAGAACACATTGAGCGTGTCCTGTTTATCAGGCACTTTGAGAAATAGCTTACACACACATACACACACACACACACACACACACACACACACACACACACCTTGCTTTATTCTCATACCACTTCTGTGAAGTTAATATTTACATTCCTATTTTCAGATAAGGAAACTAAGGCTTAGAGGCGCTGAGCAACCTGAGCATCCACAAGCTCAAAGAAAAACACAGTCAGACTCAGCATCATGAAGTCTGACCAACTGCCACTGAGTTCTCAGCACCAGAGAAAGCCCTGGCCCTGCCACACCAATGGCCTTTTTGTTGTTTCTGTATTGTCTGTGAGCCTATAAGCCAAGACACAGTACGTTCAGGTCCATTTTGCTCCTTGGGAAGACAGCATGGCACAGTGTTTAAACTGGGCTTAAAGCTGTATCAATTTCAACTCTCCCACTTGTTGGTTGTTGTCTAAGTAATTTCTTCTTGCTGAGAATGAATTTTGTCTGTAAAAAATGATGGCAGTTACAGCATCTACCCTCAAAGGGTTGCCAGCTGAGCCAATGCTTAGTAAATGTGAGCTATTATCTATATCTGGGCTACAGTACCTGGCACAAAGTGGGATCTCAGAAAATGCTCAGGTGAGACAAAGTCATGGGATCTGGCTGTGATCAGTGTTCTATAATAACAAAAGCACAGGCACAAAATTCTGGAATCCAGGAGTCCTCAGCTCCAGGACAAATGTCTCAGTTCCCTGCCCACATCTAAAGGACCTGCCAGCAAACAGCTTCCCCTGCTTGCTTATAAGCAGCTGTTGCTGGATCCACACGCAAATGCTTGCTGTGCCTCCGCTAGGTGAGGCAGATCCCAAAATAAACCACAAGAAAGAGAGACAGGAAAATCACTTCCAGGAACAAGCAACTCCCAGTGAAGATGCTGACATTAATAACAGAGGCAGGCAGACTTCAGGGGAAGTAGCTGTCTCAGTGCTGTGTAGCTGAAGCCAAGTTCCCCCCTGGCCTAGTGGGAAGACCTAAAAAGTCAAGTGTTATTCCCCTAGTGTGCCAGGCTGCAGCAGGTTGTCTGGCAATCTGCTTTCCAATGAGCCTAGCTCAAACAGCCTATATACTCTAGTATTCTTCCCTTTGAAGCAAAAGGAAATCAGAAGTACAGCCTTCCCTTAAGAGGCTGAAAAGTCTTTAAACAGGATGGCAAAACTGGTTGGCCCAGACAGGAACAACTCTCTCTATAAACTTACCATTGTCTTTAAAATCCCCAGAGTTCCCACCATTTTCCTGTGCCTGCTTCTGGCTCTCAAGCAAGAAAATGCTCTACTAAACTTTCTGTTTGTGTTTATCCCTGCTCTTTCTTCAAAATTGTTATTCGAGGAGAAAGGGAGAGCATTTCATAACCATCAAAGCCTTCCTTCACATCCCAAGTGCCCTTTCCCAGGTAAGATCACAAGGAAAAGAAGGCTGTGTGCTCATGGGCCCTCAGAGGTGTCCAATTGCACAACTGGACTGAAGATGTGTGCAAGTAAGAACTTTGCCTCTGAAAACCACAACACCTAAGCAATGTCTTCATGACATGCAGTGGGTAAAGGGCTTTGTATCCACAGTGTGCTCAGCTGCAACAGCCTCTCCAGTAGCCTCAAGAGAATTTTGTACAGAAGCGGTTACAGGGAGCTCTTGAGAAACTACAGGGTAGAGGGTGTTGTCAAAGGAGCATCAAGTTAAATGTAAACCCAGTGTGTCTCTCCAGTTCTCCTGAGGCTCAGGGCCCACTCCTCACTCTAGCCACACAGTCTCTGCCTCTTCCTTCCAAAGTATTCATGCAGGGGCTCTTGAGCTTTTAGCAGCAAGCAGCTCCACTGCCAGAGGGCTGGGAAAGGCTCAAGGTCAGAAGTATGAGCCCTGTTCACAGTGTGGAGGGGTGTGACTGACACAGCCAAAGAGACAGAGTAGAAGTAGGAACCCAGAACATCAGCCCCATCTACTCCAGGCGCTTGCCTGTTTAAAAGAATACCAACAACTCTACATAAAAGCAGAGAGCATAGACCCATCTTTTACCTCCCCACTCCTGAGAGCCTGAGCTATTCCTCAAAGACCAAATTCAGCAGGTCCAACAGGCAGAGCTGGACCTGCTGAATCACATACCTCTGTTCTTAAACTTCCCTCTGCCTGATGCCATTAGCTCCCACCTGGCTTCTCTGGCGCTTCACTCTTTGGTGGCAGCAACTACCCATATGCAAGCCTAGCAGGAGTGATATTGCTGGCTGGCACAGCAAATGCTATCCCTGGCAGCACAGCAGCAATGGGGGCTGTGAGGACACAGTGATGACTTCAGCAAGGACCTGATGAAACTACACTATGTCTGCTGCCAGAAACTGCCATCCACTTTAACACAGCACAGAACACAAACAGCTTGCACCTGAGAATAGTCTCAGTATTGGCAGAGTAGGCTCCAGCCAAGGACAGCTGGAAATGGGAGGGGAAATGGGAAGAGAGCAGATGAAGGCTCTGAGGTCAATGACAAACGACAAGTTAGGTAAATAACAGGACATGTTATCCAACCTCTCTGAGCCTCAGTATTTCCACTGGACAATAAAGATGGTAATAATTCTATTACTATGAAGATCAAAGACTGCGCACGAGGAAGTTAGCCACAGACCTGAATATGGAAAGCATTTCACAACTGCAGGCTATTGTCATTATTACTTGAAACCCTTGACTCAGGGTCACAAAAGGGTTAGAGAGTTGCTCCTTCTGAAGATGCCCCAATTACAATCAGGCAAGAACCAGCCCCCCTTTTTCCCTTGGCACGGGTTCCTTTAAAAGAAGACTTGGGGCCCTGCACCAGTGCTCAGGATTCTCCCGCGAACACTATTTCAGCAGCAGTGAGCAGAGCAGCAGAGCCCAAAATAGCATTTGCAGAGCAAGGCACATGTCACTGCCTCTTCCGTGCTTCAGAAGTGCAGGGAAAGAAAGTTTCCATCACTTGCTCAGAAAGTGCGGCCACCCACCACATGCCTCCCTTCCAGGGCACTCACATGCCACAAACTCTGCTCTGTTAGAGAATGAAGGCTCCTAGGCCTCAAAGCAGCAGCTACCACTCTGGTGGTCATGGTGAGAATGGCTGTTCCCAACCTTCAAGGACAAAGGACATTTGTGTATTTCAAAGAAGCAGAGCGGGTCTGGTACCTGGCTGAAGAGTCTGCCACTCGTGAGTCGGCTGAAACACCTCCAGCACCTCAGTGTCTAGCTCCTCTTCTCTGGCTTCCTTTGTCTCTGATTCTTTGTGGATATTCTTCTCTGTGTTGGTGAGCGCAAAATCCTTCTGAGAAAAGAAAATAGTGCATGACCCAACACTACAAGGTCCCAGGCAAGAAGAAAGCCACAGCTTGAGGTGACCCACTCCTCCTGTATGCCCACTCACCCCCTACCGCCCTGCCAACCTTCAGACACATTTAGGCACTTACAGTTCCTTTCACAGGGTCAGCCTCAGAACCAGCATGTGAGGCAATGTTTTGGTTATAGACAGTACTTTTATACATGGACAAGGAATACCACCAGAAGATTCCATACTCTCTTGAGTGGGTTAAAGAAAATGCTAGAGAGGTTAGCACAGTCGTTACTTTCTATTTAATGGCTTGATACAGACAAGCTGGTGGCTGAGGTCGAATTGATTCCTAAGTAGTCTGGCAAACCCCCTGGGGACCGATACGGCATAAATGTCCTGGAACATTCCAAATCATGGAGTGAGAATTGCAAGAGGGAAAATGGGATTCTAACTGGGTCAAGGCAAGAACATGTCCAAGTTGGAAACTGCTTCCCCAAACTTGCTTCTTTCTACCCCATGAACATCAGGGAAGAATAATAAGATGGAGTCTATGGAGAAGAGAGAGAGAGAGAGAGAGAGAGAGAGAGAGAGAGAGAGAGAGAGAACACCATTTTGCTTCTTCTTGGATTTTTAATGTTTATTTTATTTTATTTAATGTGTGTGAGTGTTTGCCTGAATGCATGTGTTTGTGTGTGTGTGAACGTGCCTGCAGAGCTGGCCTCCCATTTTTAAATCTGTATTGCATAGACGTAAGCCTAAAGAAATGGAAGCAGAGGGTTCCAGAGCTTGGGGAAATTACATTTGGGGTAGTGAGAGGGAGCCCATACCAGCACACAGGGAGGCTACCCAGCCCTTCCACTTCCCTATCATTACTCTTCTTCCATTTCCCAATTCCTACCCTAAGAGGTATATCTTTTAGTGTCTTCCTTTGACAGTCTGTGCTGAGTACTTCACCCCAGCACTAGAAAGGGATCCGGCCTGCCTGGGTCCCTCAGTGTCTCATCTTTAATTAGCTGTCAGAGGAAAGGTTAAGGTGTTAAGGTGTTGCTGATGACAATACAGCACCCCTCCAAGAATTTTCACATTTTAACTAGAAATAAAAGCATGAAATTTAGGTGGCAGAATTTCACACCTTGTTAAGGACCAGAAAGGAAAACATCTTGGGCAAAAAGAGTCTCTTAAATCATTTCACAATTAATGAGATCACTGACTATGGCACAATGGTAAAGAACAGAAGTTCTCTGTCATATAACACAAAATTCAAATCTCATGCTTTTGTGTGATTCTAGGTTTCTACATTTGTACAGCAGAAACAATCTAGTTCATATTTTAGATGACATATTACAATGTAAGCACTAGCCCTGTGAACACAGTACCCATCATCATCGCAGTACTTATAAAAAGCAGTCCAGGGTTCCAGGTCAGAGAAGTCTGTGCCATGAAAACTAAGAGTAGCTACACAATACAATTTCACTCGGGTAGGTCAAGTGGAGGTCACTCTGTGCCCCAGGAGTTGAGCCTGTCTCAAGCCTCTCTTATTTATTCAATTTTAAGTTTGCACAAAAATTAATTGAAAAGAAAATTAGGGGCTGGAGGTAGCTCAATGGTTAAGAGCACTGGCTGCTTTCCAGAAGACTGATTCATTTCCTAGCACCTACATGGCAGCTCACAACCAACTGCAGTCCCAGGGATCCAGCAACTGCTTCTGGCTTCCATGGGCACTGCACACACATGATACATAGACATACCTGCAGACAAAATATCCATATACATAAAAATAATTTGTTTTTAAAGAAAAGAAAATCAGACAATAGGTATGATACACATTACACATCTGTAATCATATTACCTGAAAGGTGAAGGCAAGATCAGGAACATTCAAGCCCAGCCTCAGTTATATACACAAGTGCAAGGCCAGTGTGCACTCTATAAGACCCTGCTAATGGGAATAGGAAGAAGAGTAAGCAGAGAGAATAGTAGGTAGAGAGAAGAAATAAGAGACAGAGGAAGAGAGAGAGAATATGAATTAGGAGCGGGATAACAGATGTGTTTGTGAGACTACAGAAGACAGCCTGTCAGGAGGATGTGGCCATCCAGGATTGCCAAATGCCAAGTCCCCAGAGGCAGGTACTGGGTCCACTGTACACCCAAGACCTAGCACCCAAGATTTAGTTCATTAACCACTGAGGAAGTGAATGAATGAATGACACTTCAGAGGCAGGTGTGACTATGGGGCCGTAGAATAAGGCAATTCCCAATCCCTGAGTCTTCTGCAGACAGGTAGCAAGCAGTACCATATTCTAGAATATGACTACTTTATCTGCTAAGTACCCAGAACCTATGTATACTCTAGGACCAGGCCATGCTAGCCAGCCCCTGGCCAAAAGTGCTAGCTAGGTGACAGGATTAGAGAGATACTAATAAAAATTTCCTTTATAGATCAAATGCTTCCAGGAGCCTGGCAGGAATGGATATAGATGAGTGAGGTAGGCCAGATGGACACAACAGGGAGCACTAGGCCCCCCCCCCCCCGGCCCCTTCCACTAGTCCCCCTGCCACTCCTCTGTCTACCCCTGGTACACAACTTGAACACAAACAGAAATCTGGGCTTTTATGAATGCTCATTCTTAGAATGCCAAAAAGACCAAACACCTAAGCTTTAAATTGCAATTTTGCTTTAGTGTACCACAAGGTAATTCCTGGGTGTGTGACAGTAGCAGGAGAATAATTCTGAAGCTATAGAAGCAAGAAGTCCTTTGTTGTATGACAGACTTTTCATAGAGAGATACAACACACAGGTCTACTCATGCCAGTTAAGAAACCTAGGATAGACCAAAGTAATGACAGCATTGTTAGGAATAAAGTGCAAGGGGAACCTTGGCAGATTCCATGGCAGGTGAGGATGGTGACCGAGGTGGAGGGACAAACATGCCAGGCAGACAGAGCTTAGTGAGAAGTTTTATTAGAAGGGGGAGGGAAGAGAGGAGGAAAGAGAAAAGAGGGAAAGAGACACAGAGACAGAGAGAGGACAGAAGAGGAGAGGGAGACAGGAAAAGTCCTGTCTGCCCCAGGGAAACCGTGGGGAAAGAGAGCAGGAAAGAGAGAGGGAAAGAGAACATTTTTAAGTGGACAAGGTCTTTCTTTTAAAGGGGTTCTTTGCACCTGCATTCAAACTAGTATTCATGGAACCCTGGGTTGACCCGAGTACTGCCTGAGAGCATTCTGCCAAGTGACGGGCAGGCCAGCATAATGCCTGAATCCTTATAGGCATCAAAGTTTAGTTTGGTGAACCAATGAGGTTTTTTGCTGAGGTTAGTAACAGGAGTATTGGTGATGAATTACTCCAAGGACTGGGGGTAACTCAGAAGCAGCTACATCACCAGAAATCCCACACCAACAAGGGTGCCCACTCCTGCAAAATCTGCAGCCCTGGTGCTCTCAACACAGCTTATATGCAGCTCTACAGCCTTAGTTTCTTTGTGCAGTTTGGCTGATCAGTCTCCAGTCACACCCACCCCTGAACTGCTCACTCCCTTTTATATTAAAGGTTTTTATTCTTCCTAGATGTGTGATCTTCTGGTTACCTCCTGTCTACCACCTGAAGTTCCCCAGTCCCCCGTGCCCTCTGGGCAAATGTTACAACTTGGAGGGAATGGCCTAATGTGGAGGAATATGCCACTTAACACCCTTCAAAGTCCAGGCAGGGCTGGTAGTGTTCATGCTGATGATTAGGAGACAGAAAAGCTGCTTTTTCTGATTTCATTAACAAAGTTAACAGATCAGTTTAGCCAACTCAGCCCTGGAAGCAGAATGACAACCAGCACTCAGCAAAGGGCTAGTTAAGCTCTATAGTCCTGTCATCATCCTGCAGCCCCAAGAAACAACTAGGCTGTGCATCCTCAGAATCTCTGGCTACTGAGGCCCTGAGAAGCACAGGGACAACCTACCTCAGGCAAGTGGTCCTTTGAAGCACTGTTAGTAACAAAACCTTTGGTCACACATACGAATACTGGTTCTGGGCCACTGGTACAACCCAGCCCCTGTGGACTGCTCAGACAAGCAGTCCTTGCAAATAGATGGGAATTATGGTTCTGCTGCCATGTTTCATATGTGCAGGCCCTCTAGAGTACCGAACTCTCATATGACTAGCACAAACTGACAGGCATTCCACACCCACAAGTAAATATGCTACACCAGAGCTGCTAGCAAATCCACCTAAGAGAATTTAGGTGCATTACAACTCCTGCAGCCTAGGCTACAAACACACCATGGACAACACCTATATTGATTATAGTTGAAGAAGCTACATGTACTAAACTACTCATCTAGAACCAAAGTCAACGCAACCTATCTTGTTGGTATCCCGGCACTCACATATCCGTGATCTCGGCATTCAGGACACTGCAGTAGGAGAATCTCATGGGAAGCTCCTAGCCCCAAATATTAAGATGTGAGTATAGAAGTAACCACAGAAACCAGGAAACTATAAAGGTACCATGAGAAGGGGGTGGTTTGAGAGGGGAAAAGCAACATTCAGATGATATGAAGGAGGAGATGGGAAAAATGGAGAGGGGCGCTGGAACTGGGGAGGGAGGGTGACCAATCAAATAACACCAAGGTTGTTTGATAAAGGCTGACAGTGTTTCCCAGTTTTTGTCAGACTACCTGACAAAAACCCCAGTGCCAGGCATGGGAACACTCCAAGTTGTTAGTCAGGACTTGAGTCCAAGTGACTACCAAAATAATATGGCTGTTGCTGTTGTCCTTTGCTATCTCTCATGGGTTGGAGGTAGTAAGTCCCTATTGCTGAAGATACCACATTTTTAGGACACAGAGCTTGGATAATTTGAGCTGGATGTAACATAAAAGCCTCCTATCTGTGGTATAGCGAAAACTCTATGCAAGTTGCCAAGGGGGAAGTAAATATGAAAAGATAACACAGTATATTTAGGTATAGGAGTTTATTCAACTGTAAAGAAGAACAAAATTTCATTATT